CCTTTCTTCGTTATATTTGAACACCCTCCAACCACGCACCTACTAGGCATATTTACAATACTTCGAAAGGCCGATCTAAACTGTGTCACCGAATTTACGTCACAGAAAAACTAGTGCCAGTCCATTAGCGTCTCCCAAAACACGGCCAACACGACTGGGCGTCGCCAGAAATCTAAATTTGAAGGCTGATTTCGAGGTGAAAAAAATTCGAAATCGAAAATTTTTTTTGGAATATTTATCTATATCATCTAGAGATGACAAAACCGTAAAAAAATTCTAGACCTGATATACACTTTAAGTTAAAAGCTGGATGGTGCAAGAAGTTGTTGAGAAAAAGGAATTTCGATGAGGAAGAGTCAAAATTTGGTACTAAAACCGAAAAGGTTTTGGGTAGTCTCTGACGATAAAGAAGGCTACTTGATAGATTTCTCTCCGTTTTTCATCATTGCTTCAAAAATTTATAACTTTTAATGCATTAATTCATGTATTACGACCTTTTTTCATTTCAAAGTTAATGTTTAAGAACAAGGAAATATTAAGAAACTTTTTTTACAAATTTAAAAAATCATCCAAACCGTTGTCGTCACAGCCAAGTTTCCAAAGCCTCAAGATACAAACATACCTATCAGTCAATCAAAGTTTTCGTTCTATCTATTTAGCAATTAGTCCTCGAACCCAAATGGGCTATTGACTCTTAAGCCATGAGGGAGAGAAAAGTAATTGCTTTAGTCAAATCCAACTAATCAGTAAAATATATAGGTGCAAATAAGTTAAAATTAATGTTTTGGTTTTCAAAGCTGGCATTTTGTGCTGTTAGTAGACTATAACTTAAATACCGACTTAAAGCCTAGTAGTAGCTCATCCAATCAACATTGATGATGGACCACTAGTTGGATTTGACTAATTTATGTTGTAAAACATTTAATTTACACATCTTTATATTCCTCTGTCTTATGTGCTGTGCAAGGAATAACACTGCTTCATACCTTGGTCATATCTACGGCGGCATATGCAGGCTCCTCTTTTCCCCCTTCAACATGTGATGGGCCACGATCAGCATAGTCAGATGGAGAATACGCAGCGTTGTCCCTTGCCTCAGCCTCCTCAACAGCATGTCTGTGGGCATAGGAAAACGCTCATTAACACGCGATCATTGAACCGATCAATCAGTCAATACTAATAATAATAATAATGATAATAATAATAATAATAATATTGAAATAAATAATAAACAAACAAACAAACAAACAAATATATGGATGGATGGATGGACGGGTGGATGGATGGATAAATGAAACGAGCGAATTAATAAAAGAAACAAACAAACGAATGAATGAACAAAAGAATAGGCAATACGTTCACGCTTTAAACGACAACAAATTACTCACATATCCACAGTAGCATTATTATTATTTACCAAAACAGGATCTGTGTTATAAAAAACATAATTAGATAATATCAATAAGCAGTTGCGAGTGTTTGATTTGAAGGGTTGATTTTTTGAGGTAGAAAAATGGAGCAAGAAAATCACATAAGTTTAAACAATGCAAAGGAGAAAAAATGAAACCACTCCTTTTATTAAGGGAAGAAAAGCCGGAATCTTGTGAAAGGAGATTGCTATAAATAATACAAACGCATATCATCCTATCGAACCAGCATCCAAGAACCAACAACTTGACACTTTAGCGGCGGTGAGAAGCAACCTTTTCTTTCGTTGCGCCAGTCTCGTCAAAAACGTATAAACAACTGATTATCATGATATTTACTTGTTTTGTCGATTCTTTTCTTTCTATAGCGCCACCAAATCACCAATAACAAGCCAATTAACGCTAAAACACCAATAATGGCGCCAATAATATATCCACGATATTTTTCCCAGAATGTAAGAGGGGGAATAGAACTCTTCGTCGTTGTTGAGGTTGGAGCTGCCGTCGGTGCTGCAGTTGAGGATGTACTCGGTGCACGAAAACCTGGAAAAGGTATATTAAATGTTGATGTAATTAAATTTAAAAAAAAAAACAAAAAAAAAAAAATTAAATGTTGATGTAATTAAATTTAAAAAAAAAAACAAAAACGAAATGAGATTATCGTAAAAGAGTAATTCCTGAATAGATTACTGATGCTGTTTTTAACTAGAAAGAGGCTAGTCATGCTTGTGTATGCTTATCTACTTGAAATCCAGTTATTATTATTATCTTTTATTATTATCATTATTATTATTTTCATTTTTTGATAATATGGTGATATACCAGTACGGGAAATTTAATGGGAATTCCTACCAGTAAATAGAAACTGCACAAATATATACACAAAATACACATACCTTTACTTAAACTACTTTCATTGAACATCAATCCGCTGAGGTTTCCTTTATTCTGAACAAGAGCATCTTGCAGAGGCTGAAGGGGATTAGGCACGTTGGCGATAAGCTCTAACTCAAAATTTACCCAGACACTTCCCTTCCTACAAGAGAAATGAAAATATTATTAATGCAAAATAATTAAAGAAAGAAAGAAAGAAAAAAGGAATGAAAAAAGAAAACGGAACAAGCTAAATCAGTATTTAAAGCCCTGAATATGTTGTGAATTTCTTAAAAAATCGCCAAGAAATGATTAGATGAGGTGAGACAAAATACCTAAAAGAGCACCGTAAACTACAAGCAAATAAGAAAAGAAAATGAAAAAAACGGCCGGAAGCAACCTGTATAGTAAAATAGTTAGGCCATAATATATACATACACAAAAGCGATAACGTAAATGTTGATTACGTATTTGTTTCCTGATATTCTATAGACTTCCAAAATCTAGGGTAAAATTAAGAAGTGAAGTTAGATACCAAAACAAACTGTTATATTACAATGTTAAAAAATGCCAAGGCTAAGGGCAAACGTCGAACTTCACAAGAGGCGTGCCAGACTGTATGTTTCTGATTGACTGGTTGAGGGCCCCGTCCACACGTATCCGAAAACTTCTTGATCCGCCCTGATGCACGCTAGTGCCTAGTTCCTTTGACGGATAGGTTTTCTTATTGAGCATGCGCATCGTGTTTACGTCAGCGTATTCGAAAATTTGTGGATACGACCGTCCACACGTATTCGTATTCGAAAATTTGTGGATACGACCGTCCACACGTATCCGTATTCGGAGCGTATTCGAAAATTTGTGGATACGACCGTCCACACGTATCCGTATTCGAAAATTTCCATTCTGGAGACCGTTTTCGAAAATTTCCGGATACGGATACAAAAATTTCCGGACTCGTGTGGACGCAACCCGTATCCGCAAAAAAACAAAAACAATAAAAAAATATAAAAAATTGCGGATACAAAAATTTCCGGATACGTGCGGACGCGGCCTGAGTCAAACGTCGATCTTATTTAGGTGGTTTTTGTGTTTGGCCGTTTAATTAAAATAATTCAGAAAACATTCATTCAGAAAAAATGAAGTCGTATAAATGAAATACTTCACATCGAAATATCAAGAAAAAACTTTAACCAGTGATTWTTCCAGTGAAGTTTCAGCYAAATCTAGCTTTATGCAAACTYACAGCTGTCTTTATTTTCTTGGACAAGGCGATAAAAGCCTGAGTGTTGTTATCTTTGAGATCAATATTGAAATCCATTCCTAATATCTGCATTGTGGATTTCTTTTTGTATGCCGGAACTTTTAACAAATGAGAAAAAATAAATTAGTAATATAGCATAATTTAATTTAAATAGAATGGCCTGTTTGACCTCCCACGGTAATGTATCTCTATTTCAATAGAGACCTTTAGCATCATGTTTACCGCTAGGAATCAGGCCCCGAAAAGTGGCCCGCAAACACGGAGAAAGACTTGGCATCAATGAAATTCAAAATGGCCACTTTTCCATTAACAACTTCGGTAGGATGCCTTGCTAAACGTCGAAAGTTTGACAGAAAACATCTGGCGTTGAACTGCAGTTTGCAGGGCTAGCAAGACCGTTGTGCTAAAGGTCTCTAAATGAATCTGAATCTACGGAAGCCCTGGCCCCTCAGGGCTTCCGTATGAAACCAACGCTGTCAATCCGACGCTAGCTTCACTTTGGTTACATTCGAGTTCTCCGAGATAAGCTATACAATTGCAAGAGAATACTTACCTCTTTTCCAGACTGTAATGTCCCTAGAACAGTTACCAACTTTGTTTTTGAACGTACAAGAAACGTCTTTGGGTAACGTGGTGTTCACGGTTATTATGTACTTGGGGTTAGAATCAACAACTTGAGCACCCACACAGTTTAGAATGGGTATAGGATTACCGGATCCAGTTGGGTTTATCGCCGGAAGATTTTGGCTTTCATATCCAGACACCAAATTAAATTTTAATTTCGAGCAGATGTTTCTTTGGAAATCTAAAACAGGAATAACATAAGAGTAACTAAATAAGTAAATGAAGAACAAATTATGAAAGAGCCGTTCGTTTAGTCCTAACGAATTTGTATTCATTTGCATTTCTATTACCTCAAAGTGCTGTGTCTTTTTGTTTTTGTTTTTGCTCTGCTCTGCTTTGCTTTGCTTTGCTTTGTTTTGTTTTTGTTGTTGTTGTTGTTGTCTAGCGCGAGATGAATGCCAATTTCATATAAACCTGACCAACAACGTTCAGAATAATTCCATCTTGAGCTCCACTGATTATGTATAATTTATAATCAGGATATAATGGTATTGAAAACAATGCTGACTTTAATTAAGATGATATTAATAAAGAGAAAATGAACCAGAATATTTTCTCATAAGGCTAACGTTTATATAAGAAAGAAGAGCGGATTATTCAAAAGAGCCACTAAACGGCCTCAAATTGCGCCGAAACTTCGCGAGAAGACTGGAAAAGGTACACGAGCAATTTCTTGAGTATAACCATAGCTCCCATAAGCTTCCCTCATAAACCGTACACAGGAACTTTGTTTTGGCTGTCTGTGGCCATATTATATCTTGATTTTTTACTTATGCGGCGGTCATCTTGAACTATATTTTAATTAAGACATAATGGGATGCCAAGGAGGCAACTATTGGAAAATGTGTAGATTGCACAGCTGTCAGGATGACTTTTTATATGACTTTACACTTTTCAATGAGAATCTTAAAAGCAATTGAATTTGCTGGTAGTTGGAAGAGTAGGCGAAACGCCAACTCTTCAAATTATTTGAAAGCAAAGCCCGGCCATTCTACCCTCGAAAAAAAAATTGTATGTGTTTGCCCCCTTGACATCCCTTAATTCAAGATGTATCGCCGAATCAGTAAAAAGAACTACTTGTATAGAACAGGTGCATGTTACGTCATTGCCACCATCTTGGTTGACGATAACAAAGCATTCCTGGTTAGATCCCTCTCTCGTTAGATCAGCCAGGATGGCATTAGAAGAGTTAAAAAAAAAAAAACACATATTGTAAACCAATAATGAAAACTTAATTCGGGATTTTAAACAACAGCAAACCATATTTCAATTTAC